CCGCTGCCTGGTGCTGGGAGACCCCATGGCGCGGCGAGACGCGCACGGCGGGCTAAGCCCAGCCCTTGCTAGCACGCACTTGTCTCCCAGAGCCCCTTGGTGCTGCTGTGCTCCCTGCCTGCAGCCCTGATGTTTCCCATTGCCCAGGGCGGGGGCGACAACAGGCAGCGAAACCCACTGAAGCCTGGCATGTGGCTAGCCAGAGCCTGCTAGCTGGGGGGATGGTGCAGGGTGAGCCATCTGACTCCTCGTTGAATCCCCAGTGTTAGGGGATTGCTTCCCCAGGATGCAGCTTCCCAGCCCCGGAGCTGGTGCCGAGGGGCCTGGCTGCCGAGGGGGAATCGTCCGGGCTCTGACCCTTTGTCCCGTCTCTCTAGGAGCTGGCCGGGAAGCTTCACGCCCAGTTTCCCGAGCACTATCCGGATGCCAATCACAAGCCAGAGATGGCCATTGCGCTGACCCCTTTCCAGGGCATGTGTGGCTTCCGGCCCGTGGAGGAAATCGTGGCTTTTCTGCAGAGTAAGCACCAGGTGGCGCAGCGGGCTGGGCAGGGATGGGCCATAATTTTTGATGGTGGTGGGGGGGGAGGGGGGGACACTCCAAGAATTTGGTAAGTGGTCAAGGGCTGCCCTCTTCCATGATATTAATGGAGGAGGTGCAGGGTCTGGGGTGGAGGCTGGGTGCGGAAGAGATCTTGGGGTAAAGGATTGGGGTACAGGAGGGAGAATGGGGTCTGGGAGAGAGTTTTGGTGAAGGAGGCAGGGGACTGGGATGCAGGATTTGGGGATTTTGGGTGAAGAAGGCAGTTGTGACCTAGGCTAGGAGGGGCTTGTGATCTGGGGCAGGAGATTGGGGTGCCAGATCTGGGAGAGGGTATGGGTGCAGAAGAGGGCAAAAGGTTTGGGTATGTGTGGGGGGGGCAGAAGGTTGGAGAAGAGAGGGGCTGGGGTGCCAGAGGCAGGCCCTGACTGAAAGTAGCTTGCTGCTCCACATGGCTCCACTCCGATCGGGCCCACCGGCCGTATTTTGCCCATCCCTGGGGTGTAGGAGCTAGTGACAACATCCGAGATGGAGGGCCAGGGGAAGGGTCAGATGCAGTAGGGGGCTGAACTTGTGGGGAGTTAAGAGTCTCCAGGGGATCCCTGCAGACCCCTCTCCGGCTGGGGTGGGCACATCGTCCCCCGGCCCCGGCCATGTCGCCCCAAGCAGAGCTGGGGAGGGTGGGGGTGTCAGAGCATAAGGCCTTGGGCAACAGTCCCGGCACCCTGCTCCCTGAAGCCGAGCTGAGGGCTGCGAGGAGCCCCGGGCTTGTGCTCCCCTCTCGCTGGGCCTGCCGGCCGGGGGGCTGATGGCTCTGCCCAAACAGCCACAATTAGGGGGGCTGACCCCTCGGGGGAGCTCTGCTGGAGGCCACGAGCTGCCCTGAGCCCTGGCTTGGTGATTGAGAACGGCCCCTAGGAAAGACTCGGCTGAGTGTCCTGGAGCCGCTGCGCCCGGTGCCCTGGGGCTCGCCCCTTTGCTTTGGCTGGGGCCTTTCCCCTTCTGCCGGGTTTTCAGCCGTAGATGCCTAGCCCAGAGATTGAAGCGCCAAAGGGCAGAGCAGGGCTAGGGAAGGCGCTTCCGGCTCTGAGACCGCAGACGCTCTTTGCTGCGAGGTTTCCGACTCGCCGTGTTGGAGCCCTGCGGCTGGTGGGGGCTGTGGGCAGCCCACCCCGGGGGCTGGCTGAGGGGGTGGGTGTGCTGCTGCTGCCCGTCCTGCCCTGGGCTGCTGACGGGTCCGCTCTCGGCAGAGGTCCCCGAGTTCCGGGCGCTGATCGGCAACGTGGCAGCGGAGCAGCTGGAGCGCAGCGTGTGCGACGACCCCCGGGGCGTCTCTGCCGCCCTGCGCGTCTGCTTCACCCGGATGATGAAGAGCGAGAAGAAGGTCTTTGTGGACCAGCTGAACATGCTGGTGAAGAGGATTTCCCAGGAAGGTTTGTTCTGTGCCTGCCCGGGGGGTCGGGAGCGGGGAAACGGGACGACCCAAAGGCTGCCTGGTGGGTTGCCTGCATGGTTCAGTGCCCTGGATTAGTGAAGGGGAGGGAGCTGCCATGTGTCTTTGGGGGCAGGTGGGCATCTTGGAGTGAGGAGGAAGGGGGCAGCCTTCTGGTAGCCACTGACTGGCTCTCGCTGTTGGGGTTTTAACCGCACCCTGCCAGATGGGCCAGCTGCCCCGCTAGGCGGGGATCACGGTGGCGGTAAGGCCTGGGATGCTGACATGGAGCGGGCGAGACACAGGATGGCGCAGGTTTCACTGCCGGCTCCTCCCCGTGTCCGGTCTTTGGCGCGCCCAACCCCGCTCCGGAATGACCGAGTGCTGTGCCCGTGGCTTGCTGGGGCTAGCTCCGGCTCTGACATTGGCAGCCGCTCCCCAGCAGGGATCTGCACCCTCCCTCCCGCCTTGGGAAAGCCTGGCCACGCCGGGGCGGGAAACGCCCCCTGCATTGCACCCAGCCTCCAGCTCTGTTCAGGTAGGACACCGAGCTAGTTGCTGCTTGGCCAGCCTGGGAAATGGGAAGTGGCTACAGGATGGGCCTGTCCTGCAGTGCCAAATGCTGCCGCTCCCTGCCTCAGTTTCCCCCGCCTGGGTTTCCTGTCTGTCTGGAAATTCCTGGATTAAGCCTCTGGCTGAGTCGCTCTGGGTTCAGTCCCCTGGGGGGACTAAAGCCCAAAGAAAGTTCTTGCACCCCACTTGGGCTCCTCTTCAGCCACCCCTGGGCTCCCTTTAGTGCTGCCCCAGTAAGCCAGGAAGCAGCTCATTGTGGCCTAGGCAGGGCTGACTGCGCCGGGCTGGTAGCATTGGCTGTTAAAGGGGCGGGCTGACCTGCTCCAGAAGCGCACGAGACAGCCCCTGTGCCCACAACCCCAGAGAGGGCGGATCAGCCGAGCGCCCCTTGGCAGGGCGCGTCCCACTCCCAGCTCGGTGCCTTGCGGGGGAGGGGGAAGAGCTGGGCCTGGGCTCCAGCACGGGGAAGCAGGGATGTGACAAACCCAGCAGCAGCCGTGGCCCCCGTGATCTCACGAACTGTCGGGGGGGGGAGTGGGAAGCGCAGGCCCTGCAGGATGTGGTGCTGCTGAATGCCCGGCCGGGTGGGTGGCGAGGCGCCGTGCTGGGGCGAGCTGGAGCCCTGCCTGCCTGGAGGCGATAGCGCTCCTAAGTCACTCCTGAGAAGCACGTTTTGCCCCGTGTCCTGGCTGCACCCTGGGAGAGTAGCTGGGCCTGACTCCTCTTCATGGCAGGCCCTGGGAAGCTGTGCTGGAGTTCCCATGCCGGAGGGGCTGCAGCTCCGCCTGTCCCTTGGTATTTGAACAGGTGCCGGGTACGGTGCCCCGGAGCGGTGCCGCCACGAAAGGCCTCAGATTTGTGAGCTCATCACTGAACCCGAGTGGCCGGGGGCTTCAGATCCCTCTCTGGGCAAACAAACTGAGCAGGGCTGTGTGTAAGTGAAGAGTAACAAGCATGAAGGTGATTTTGCCTCCTGCCCTCACTGCTCTGGGCTGCAGCTCCGGTCTTTCCTGCCCAGGCTGCCCTCCCCCAGCGAGCGTCTGCCCGACAAGCAGCGGGAAAGGAGCGAAGTCTTTCCGGCACAGCCCACAGCTGTTTGTGCCAGCCTCAGGGCATGCCCCGAAGCAGTTTGAGGTTCTACACGTAGCTGTCATTGACCCAGGAACAAATGTGAACTCGGAAGGCCCATAACGGAGTCACAGGCGGCCCCCTGGGGCAAACTCCAATTCCCAACAATACTCAGGTTATTCCCAGTCCCAAAGAATCTGTCGCGTATCCTGCTCAGTTGTACCGTAGCTCTCTTTCCACAGGACTTGTCACAGTCCTTTGTTAGTCACAGGACTATATTAATGGGCAGAATGAAAGCTGTTTCCCGGGTTAAAGCAGGTGAACAGACGCAGTCGGAGGTTTCAGAAGGTGACAGATGCTGCTGTCATTTGCAAGTGTGTCCCTTAGTCCAAGCCCCACCTAAGCATCGCATGGTGTTCCAGGCAGCATTGTGCTTCCAAGCCCTTGTCGGGGACTGTGCGCCCCTCGCCTGGCTTTCCGGGCGGGATGGGCCGAGGGCTTGTAAACGTCCCCTCTTCATGGGGGGAGGAGGAGTGGACCAGTCTCTTGTCCGCTGATGTTCCGCAGTAGCGTGTCTGGAGGCCAGGCTGGGGAGGAGGTGATGCCTCGGGGGTAAACTAGCCCTTGGTGCTTGGTGTCTAGCGCGCACGGAGCTGTTTCCTGATGCCCCAGGGGCCCGTGCTGCAAGGGGGATCAGTGCAGGCAGCGTCCTACAACATTCCCTGGAAATGGGGCCTGCGACTCGAGTATCCCTCCTAACACACACGGGCCCCCAGACTCGCCTGGTCCCCACTCGGCATTGTCCGTGTGCAGCCAGCCTGGGCCTTGGCAGCGGCTGGGCCGCCAGCATGAAGCTTGTGCCAGCTCCTGGGCCGGGTCTGGGGCTCTGTTGAGGGGAGACTAGAGTGAAAATACAAAGGGGCCCTTCATTGCAACGGAGGGCGCATGAGCCAAGCCAAAGAGGCCTCCCTCTAGTGAAAGGGGCTCAGGCCAAGTGAGGCTGCCCCGGTTCTGTTCCGGGGGTGGGGAGGAGCAAATCGCCATTCTTGGGTGGGAGAGCGTGCCCGTCCCATCCTGCTCCCCGGAGGGGCTGGGTTACGGGCATGGAAGATCACCACCTTCCTCTCCTTCCCTGGGAGGAGTGGCACACGGGAAGGAAGGACGGACCCGCGGGACGCTGGGCGTAAGGCGGGGGGTGTGTGTGTGGGGGGGAATGGGAGTGAGTGGGGGAGG